TTTGTATCCAATGTCAAGTCCCTGTTGAACTCCCACACAGACAGCACTCATAGGCACTTCCCTTAGTAGACCTGGTCTGCTATCTCTACTCCTGCCTGATGTACTGTGGCCTTCATTCCATATCAAGAGCATAAATAGGGGCAGAGATTCTCAGCCAGTCTTTTAGGAACACACCCTCCTCCAAGCAGAGGAAGTGTGTATCCAGGTTACAGTGAATTTTGCACAAGTCAGAAAATCTGGGTATTTGTGGATATCCAGTTTTTACTGGTGTAGCCCCTGTCAGTCTTCAGCCTATGAAATAAGGAGAGTGATTGCTTTGTTGGTGACCAGTTAGTGTTGTGAGGGTTGAGATAAGGGGTACGAAGTTCACCCATCACATGTAACTGGTGCTTTCATTAGTATTTTGAGTAGTGGAAAACGGGTTTGATGGATAAGGTGGGATCAGATCCTGGTGGCCTCGACAGACACATGGAGGAGTTCAGTTGGGATAAAGAATACAGTTGGGGGAGTGGGCAGGGAGGCCGAGGAGGAGACAGCTATTCTAAGTTACAAACCCAAATGATTAGAAATCTAGCAGTGTCACTAATAGACAGGGAAGAGGAATCTGAGTTTCAGGAAGAGAGCTTCAGTTCTGCTAAGTTGGAGGTGATAATGCAGCAGTGTCCAAGTGACAGACGGGCTGTGGGACAGGTGTCTGGAGACAGGGAGGAAATTCCCATACGGGGGTCAGGTTTGGAGCAAGGAGAATGATTGAACTCTCCAAGGAGGATGGAAAGACACAGGATATAGGGACTGGCCAGGTGAGTGCTCTTAATTAAAGGACAGGAAGGAGAAAAATAGCAAAAGAAAATGACTCCTACATCTTCCATCATCCCAATACCAAGGCTTGTTTAAGTGGTTCTGGATCCACTGGGTTGCACAGAGTTCTGCCTTTGCTTTTGTTGGGAAGACCTGATTCTTGCTTGGGGTCCTTAGAAAACTAGCCCAATTAAAGAAGAAAAAATTTCCCTCCAGGACTGGGGCTTGATCCTAGGGCCTTGTGCATGCAGGTAAACATTACTGCTGAGCCACATCCCCAGGCCCTTTTTATAGTTTTCTTTCTTTTTTGATAACTTTATTTATTTTTATGTGGTGTTGAAGATAGAACCCAGTGCCTCACATGTGCTAGGCAAGCACTCTGCCACTGAGCCACAACCCCAGCCCATGTAGTTTGGTTTTCTTTGTGTTGTACTCTTTGCATCCAGAGGATTTGATTTTGTTAAAATGATGCCTTTCTTTTTAAATAAATGATGACTTGCCCCCTTAAAAGCAGATTTCCTGTTTTGAAACAAATTCAAGAAGGATGATAAAAGTATCTGAGGTTAGTACTGGTACCCGCCTCTGCTCCTGAGGGTCCAGATGTGGCACACAGGAGTCCTTGGGCCTCGTGCATCCTCCTCAGCTCTAGGCTATATACCAAGCCTGCTGCCTGACTCAGAGCCGGGATGGCAGCTGATTCCATGCGGGTTGGGACGTAAGACATAAAAGTGAAAGTGAACTGGCATCCAGAGCACAGAGCACTGTGGAGCTAGGAACAAGGAAAGGTGAGTCAGGTCAGGGTGGGGCAGGGAAGTGGGACCTTTACTATGTTCCGAGCTCTATTCCAGAATAACCAAAGGTGGAAGACTGGCTCTGGCTTGGTGAGTCATGTTTCCAGCCTCTGACTGCTCAGTGAGATGAAGGCTCTGAGCAGGTTCAGAGCAACTTGCTTGAGGTCACCTTGGCTGGCAGAGGAAGGGCACCTGCCCTCCTGTGGAAAAGACAGGAAATGGCATTCATGTCACTCCTAGGGTGGCCCTCAGTGTGGCAGGCAGGTCTCTGATTGGATGAGTCCTGCACTGAGGCAGTTTGTGTGGAGATGCTGAACCAGGCAGGTGGTTACTGTGGCACAATAATGAGAAGGTTGCTAGGGGAGGGCGAAGGAAACAGGAAACAAGGTGATATGTCCCCTAAAAATGTCACCACCATCTCCACCTTTCTTCCATGAATAAAGAGAGTTTCATTGCTAGCTGACAATGAAACTACATTTCAAGTGTAGTTTTTTACCCTTGATTGACGCTTTTCCTGGACTTTAACTTAAGTAAACATCAGTCCCCTGACCTTCTAATTGCTCAGTTCTTTTAATTAAAAGATGATTCTAAGCAACATCAAGTAGTGGTCTATTTATTATTTATCAAGCATTTTCCTTCCAGCAGTTAGTGAAAGGTCAGTGGCTTCAATGGATGCTTTGTTTTTGGTGAGCAGTTTAGATGAAAAAGATATACAATCAATCTCAGCTCCCTCCTGTTTGCTCACGGGCAGGACACTGTTTAATAGTCATTTGTGGCATTTAGGATCGAAGGCCTTGGAAACATGCAGAAAAGTGCATGTGCATCCCTTGCTGCTGAACATTTCTCCAAAAGTAAACATCAGGTTGTGATTATGGTTAATAATGAGGTATTGATTGTCTGAGAATATCACGGCCTGGGAGCATCCAGCTCCAGCACCACTAGATGGCGCTGTACTCCTGCTGTTCAACTAGTATTTTATTTCCTTGCCTCAGGGTACCTTGCCTTTCAAGGTTGGCGAGTGTCCTTGTAAAATAACATTCTGGCTGAGATTTAGGAAGCTGAGGTCCTGGGGTGTTTTTGAGATGGGGTAAGATGGAGGGGACAGGCCATAGGACAAATGACAAAGGCCTGCTGGTGTGTGTGTGGTGAGGGCAGGTGGTATCAGTACTCTTGCTCTTGTACCATAATAGGAACAGGAGAGGAAGGAACTAACTGTGCTGAGCCCCTGGAGACTCTGCCCAGAGCAGTGTTTCCTAACCTCCAGTCAATGACACATCTGCGAATTTGCAGTGGAGGATGATGGGAGAGAACAGTGCAGTGAGGAGCAGCGGAAAAAAACCAGGCCTGGGAGGAACAGAAACCCTCATTAGTGCTTTGTCTTGTGATATTGGGGAGTTAGTGAAAAACCTGAGCCTCAATGTGCTTATCTAAGATAGGAATAATAATATCTGTCTCATCAAGTTGTAAGAATCTGATGAGAACATGAACTGAGTTCTTGGCAGTCGTCAGTCTTTGCTCTCCATGCCCCAAAGGCTCTCAGAAACTGTGATCCTG